TCGCGCAGCGATCGTGGTACGCGAGCGCGACTGCCTCGTGTGGGTCGCCCAATGCTTGGCGCAATCTGCTGTCCCCTCTCCCGCGCCGCCAATCGCCGGGGCTTCGGAGCTCGTGACGATCATCCGCGGCGGGAGGGAGAGGGGAGAAGGCATCCTTTCTCCCTTCCGGCGGGCGATGGATCGATCGATCGACCCCGCGCTGATCACGCCGACGCAGCAACATCTCAGTTCCGGCATCTATCCACGCGCGGCGACTAGCCCGATGAGTGCGATCCAATACCGCGTCACCCCGTTGCCATCGAAATCCCAACGTCGAGTAAGAAGCCTCCCCAAAAGGATAAAGTGCCGAGATACGTAGACTTTGTCAAATTGTTGCTATATTTGGATTCAATATTTTGTTGAGCCTTGAATGTGATTGGGAGTTCCACGTGGCGGATGTGTATGAGATAATGGAGTTGGATGTTGGGAGTGTCCTACAAGTCAGAATTGGCTTGTTGATGTTGACTTCAACTCCAACTTCAAGCTCATTTGTGTCTTCTTCTTTTCTTTTCTGTTTTTTTTTTTAGTTTGTTTTGAATGAACGGTGATCATATTAATAGTATCAATTACAAGTCAGTCTGGGTCCCATGAGCGGGTTGGCAGAACTCTTCTATGAGCGTTTCTTGGCGTTTCTTTCCGCAGGACTCAATAAAACGTAGTATGTGGTTACAGCGCTCTATGTCGGCGTGTATCGTATCTCTTCAGGCGCCATGACATTTCCGAAGGACGTTAAATTTTACACTGGAAAAAATGAAGCTACACCTAGCACACCACAAAAGAGCACTATGGAGAACATCTCCCGCTAGAACCGGAGTGCAGAGGGAGGGTGTGTATGTAGCAGTGGTTTGAGTGCCGGGGGGGGGACCCCTGTGTTAATCTCTGTCTATGAGAGGTATTGGGGCAAGCCTAAGGTGCTCCAGATGCTTAAGTATCGGTGCCATACTCAACAAGCAAATTTGCAGTCTCGTATGCAGTGTCTTGGTGTCTATTGAATATCCCTGTTACAATATTGACACTCGCTGGGGAATCCCAATGTTGCGCTCCAGCTGCCCGTTAGTAGCCCTTCTGAATTGAGGAGCTACAAGAAGGCCTGAAGTTTTGCTGGCTTGTGTTTATCCCACATAAGTTTAATTGATTCTTCTGTTTCTGTTGACGTGAGGCCAAGTACGGCCTATTTGGAATAGAGATGGGTGACTTAGGGTTTATCTGCAAGAGCAATGCAGTAACCATGTCGCGTTGAGTAATTAAAAAAATTTGTTGTTTGAAGATGCGCGATCTTATGCCATTTCCATTCTGCTGGATTAGACGCTAACGATTGCACAGGTCCCATGCACCATATGGCTCCGTCATATGGTGCATCCGAATTGAGCTGAATGGTGCGAAGGCCTCGTTTGGGGTAACAACTTATATTCTATGAAGATCATGGCTTGTGATATCCACGACAGGGTGTGAATCCTGTCGAGAGTAAAAGCAGGGCATAGTTTGTTCAAATAAGGTGCCCTCGTAAGGGCCACGAGTTTGTATGAGGGACTGAATTCCTTTGTTTGAGTGTAGCACCGCGACCCAGTCAAAAAGTTTGAATGTGGGTCGTTGGGTCGACTGTGGATTGAGTCCAGAAAATCTCTTAGACTCTGGTTTGTGTTTCAAGATCCTACTACGCGGCACAGTTCTTTTGTGTGTTTCCTATCCTTTCTTTGGTCGTGCCGTGAATCCTTGAGCTGGAGTATGCCTTTCTGCATCCATGTGCTCCCGGGTGAGTACGGAGCGTCTCCAAGCATAAATCCTTGGGAATGTAGTATCTCCGCAGTCCAGAAGAGGCATTGTCGAGCTGTGGAGTCAGAGAGGGATGGTTGTTGAATGTCGTACCTTGGTCCATGCTTTCCAAATTGCCCACCATAGATTCGACCCAAATCCTCTTACTGCCTTAGCATAAAAAATGAAGTGTATGTGAGGAAGCCATGCTCTCCCGCAATTTGGATGGAGTGAGGTGATACAGTGCTTACTCATTAGTGTCGTTTTGAATATCACCAAACGTAGCATTGTAAATCTTAATTGTTTTTGGGATCCAGTGGTTATTGCAGCCTTTGCGTGATGCAAAATTCCTTTGCTTGTCTAAAGTGAAGTTTTATGGAAGGATTTACATGTTCGTTCAATGAGTGATTCTACATTGCTTTCAATTATTGTATGTGGAATTTTAGGTATTCAATACTTTGTTGACTAAAGGTTTTTATCTCCAACATATGATTTAAGAATTACAGAAAAAAAAAAAAAACAAACAAACAAACAAACAAACAAACAAACAAACAAACAAAAAACAAAACACTAGGTGTTTTTTATGTTACAATATATTATGCATAAATGTCTGTCATATTTTTTTCTTAACCAATTAATATTATGTGATAAAGATCTTACTGTTGGAATATTTAATGTTATTTTTACATTTAAAATACATCAATTATTTGGATATTTTGTTGATGCCTTGGTCCAACAATAAAATCTGTCTTCACCTGTTTTTGTAGTTTTTAACCCTTTAATTTTAAATTTAAGTTTTTCACTATTTTGTGCAATTCTAAGATATATCTTGGTTGTCAAAATATATATATATATATATATATATATATATATATATATTATAAATTTGTAATCTATAATAATATTTTATAAATGTAAACCACAAAATCTCTAGTCTTATAATATTTTAAATTATAATTTATAGTTTATATTTTAATTTTATATCATAATCATAATTTATGTCTAAAGTATAAATTTATTTATATTATATATTAATAAAAAAACATTATTTTACAAAAAAAAACAATTACACATATCTATTGTTAAAAATTATATATTTTTTATTAGTTTATGTTATTTTTCTTAAATATTATATTTTGAGACAATTATAATAATAAAATTAATTTTAGTTTTATACATTGCATTAATCAATTAATTATATATATATATATTAATTTCAAAATATTAATATTAATAATATAATAAAAATAATAATAATAAATTATTAAAATTCTATCTATATATTATGTAACAATAAAATGATGTTTTTTGGCTCCACAATAATCTAAACATAAACTAGGCAAGTTAATAGACATCAGATAATAATATCTCTTCTCTATCCAATTAAGATCAACTAAAGACAAGATTTGAATTACTAAATATTTTACCAATGGAGACAAAGACATGCAAGACAAAATATTAAAATCCAAACATTGTCAATATAAATTTAATATGACATTAAAAGCAAGAAACTAAGCATTGCCTATTTATTTTATCACATAACTTCTTCTTTTTAGAAAATCCTAAAGAAACCATAAAAGAACCCTCAAAGATATCCTTAAAAAAACTCTAAAGATATCCTAATCAAATTCTTAATAATTCTTAATAAAATCCTATGTAAAACTTAATAAAATTAAATTTTAAATAAATAATAATTAAATATTTAAAAAATTCTAACAAATTTTAATCAAATCTTAAAACAAATCTTTATAAATCCTAAAAATAATCATAATTAAACTTGAAATAAATCTTTAAAAATCCTAATCAATCCTTCTATTAATCTTAAAACCTTAGTAACTATTAATTAAACTATTTATCTTTAAAAAAAAATCTCCAAGTTTTAATTTATAAATTAACAAAAAATACAAAAAATTTACAAAAAATCAAACTTGATAATTGAATTAAAAGATTTTCATATGTTTAATCCAACCAACAAATTGCTCAAGATCAAAGAAACCTTTATTAATCCTTGAAATCCAAATTCTAAGATCCTAACTCAATTAAATTTTTACAATCTTTGATCTATCTATTTAATTGAATTCAAATTCAGAAAACACATTTATAACAAGTAGATCCAAAATTCCACAAAAGTTTACTTGTGAATTTGCTATAATGCTTATAAAATTTTCAAAAATATAAACTCATTTCTATTTATTAAAATTACAAATCATCTATCAACCCTAACTTTGCAAAGCTACTAAAAAATTAATATTAATTTAAATCACTTGAAATTAATGCTTAAACAATTCTTATCAAGTTTATTTATAAACTTGTTCTTTAGTTAACAAAAAAACACCACAATTCTTGTAGGTATACAACATAATGCTTTGATGTTAAATTTCAGTCCAAGTTTACAACCAATCTTCTCTGGATATCAATATCTTATTTTTCTTAAATAATTTTTGCTAGAAGCTACTATCTACTTCTACTTAAAGATGCTTATAATCTCATATTTACTAACCTATTTTGTTCTGTCTTATTTATGGTCCTAAAAAGATAGTAGAAGCACTTTTTAGTAAAAGATAACATTAATACAAAATACATTTATTACTTCCTTATCTTTTACTTATATTTTGGTACTATATTTTTCAAATAATCTCTTCTAAATTATAACGCATACTTTTTTCTTTCATCTAATACTCATATTATAATATAATAATATATATAAATGTGTCAATGAAGTTCTACCTTATAATAAGTAGATGATAGTAATGAGCTTTTAAAGGTGACTATGTCAAGAAGAAGAATTCAAAGAATGTAAACAATCAAGTGAGATGTTTCTTAAGAAAAGATGATAAGAAAAAAATATGTATGTTCAAGAAAAAATTAAAATGGATATTGCTAAAATCTAAGAAATTAGATTAGAAGCAAGAAAAGAGTTGATAAGAGTGAAGAAGGCCTCATTCTTGCCTCTATATATACTATCTAATTAAGTTCTATGTAGCAACATTCTATAAGACCTCTAATACATGTCCAACTTGCAAACAAGCTTCCTATATGTATGCCACATGTCCAACTTGTACCACAAGTGGCCAATATGTGCAATATATGGCTAATTTGTTGG